TTGAATTTGATCTTTTTCTTTGAGGTATCTTCTTCGAGTTGGATCGTTATTGGTGATAAAGATGTAGGAGTTTCCTTGTATAAGACTCAATTTCTATTTTTTTTGTATGTGTTTGAGTCCAAATTCCATTCATGCCTGAGTTCAAACTCAGTATGAGTCTTCTACATTCATTCACGTTTTCTGTTGTCATATTGAGTTCATCTGGAATTGAGTCCAATGCTTGCAAATCCAAGTTTCACTTGGTGTTATACAATTCGAGTTCAATGTCCTCTGCGATCATTTTGAGTTCAATTATAATTCATTATAATTTATTGCCTTGGATTAAAGACAACATATGGTATGCATAGTATATTCATTGCACACTGGTCCTTGCTTGCAAATATGATGCAAGTCATGTTTCACTTTGAGTTCACTTGGGTTTGAGTCAAGTGCTTGCAAGTTCAATTTTAGATTCATTTAGATCAATTGAATCAAGCTCATAAATCCTCACTTATCCTTTTGAGTTTGACCAAGCTCAAAAGTCTCGTGTAAGTTCAAAAATTGACCCAAGTCTTTGCTCCTCTCATTTGAAGTTCACATTAAATGTAAATTCAAGTCACTGTTGTTTTGCAAAGTTCAAGTCCGAATTCAAATCGAATTCATGTCCACTGTACTTGATTCAAATCAAGTCCAAGCTTTGTTCATTTGATTCAAGTTTTTGGTTTAGTGTGCAAATTCAAATCTTCTTGCATATGATTCAAGTTTGAGTTCTCTGTCAAATTCAACCTCTGATCCAAGTTTGAATTCAATATCATTGTAGCTCATATCACTTTCAAGTCCAAATCAAGCTTCAAATTATTGAAATTTAGTTTGAATTTATTTAAGTCCATTTAGTTCAAGTTCGAGTTCACAAGTCCACTGTTGTTCAAATGTGTCCAAATCTTTGTTCTTTTGAGGTCAAATCAAGCCTGATGCAGTAGCGTATTCACCTGATATTTCGGTAGCCTCTCGGCGTCTCCCCCGTTTAGGGGCAAACTACGGGAAACTGGGCCTTTCCCACCACGCTAAGAAAAACGTGTATGGTAGGTGTTCTCGGACGAGGACACCGCGGCCGTGTATTTTTTTGATCCCCCACCACGCTAAGAAAAGTAAATATGGGTCTTCGGTACCTGTTGCAAAGAAAAACAGTTGTTTCCCCGCAAGCGGGTACTTATGGGTATCCTCGCTTCGTCGTACGCATCGCACCGGGTTCCCATCCCACCATGCTAAGAAAAGCGTGTATAGGCGGTTTTCCGGTGCGCTACGAACTCCAAAGAAGGAATTTTGGGTGATTACCCGCTTCGTCGCAAGCATCGCGACGAACTTTCTCCCACCACACTAAGAAAAGCGTGTATAGGTGGTCGTTTCATCTCGTTGCAAACATCGAAAACGGGTTCTCGGAGTTTTAGGGTTTAGGAGTATTATACCTTAGCGACCGTCGGCGTGGATCGAGGCAAGAGGAGAAAATTTTCTTTCTCTATTTTTTCTAAACAATTAATAATTATTAATCATAATAACCATAATTAATTATAGTTAATTATAATTAATATTAATTATAATTAATTAATTATAATTAATAATAGCTAATTATAATTAATAATTATAAACAGTAATAAAAATAAAATCCCTTCTCCCCCTCTTGGCTCGGCGTGCTCAAGAATTAGGCCGAACAGGCGCGCGGAAGGGAGATGTTACCTTCACAACCGGCGAACTCCCCGTGTTGCTTCCGATCGGACAAGGAGGGAAGTCGTCGAAGAGGCGGCTAGGGCAAGAGGTATGGGAACTCTCTCTCTCTCTCTCTCTCTCTCTCTCTCTGAGCCGAAGAAGCAGGGGATCGGGAGGAGCTCAGAAGTTGAGCACGGGAAGGAAGAGAGGTACAAATGGCTGGGGCGAAAGTGATCGTGAATGGGAATCCCAGTCGAAGCACTCACTTGGCCTCCTTTTATCGACCGAAGGCGGGGGGCGATCGAGGCTGCATACGCGAGATTCACGGAAGGCGACGTGAGCGACGCCAAAGGAACAGTGCCTCGGCGAGATTTGGGCCAGATTTTGCGGAGGAATTCTTGGATCCGACGGGTGCTAGGTACGTACGCTAGATTCATGGCTTCTTCTCCTCTTGTTTTGTTTATACAGAGGTTAACAGTACCTTGGTGTATGCTTTTTCTTGATGATATTCTTCTTATCGATAAGACTAGAGAGGGAGTTGAAGGTAAACTTGAATTATGGAGTTCAACCTTAGAGTCTAAAGGTTTTCGCTTGGGTAGATCTAAAACTGAATATATGGAGTGTAAATTTAGTAGCAATAGACTTAGTGAGGGAATTGTGACTTTGGGCGATCAAGTTATTAATAAGAGTAGATGTTTTAGATATCTTGGATCTATTGTTTAGAGTGATGGTGAAATAGATGAAGATATTATCAGCAGAATTCAAGTTGGATGGTTGAAGTGGAGGAATGCATCGGGCTTGTTGTGTGATAAAAAAAGTCCCCCTCAAACTTAAGGGAAAATTCTATAAGATAGTTGTGAAACCTGCAATGCTTTATGGTGTTGAATGTTGGCCATTAAAAGAGAAGCATAATACTAAGTTAAGTGCTGCAGAAATGAGGATGCTTAGGTGGATAACTGAGTGGCTTTACCCTTAGAGATAGAATACGAAATGAGCATATATGTGATAAGATTGGAGTAGCTCCAGTGGAAGATAAGATTAGAGAGAGTCGCCTTAGATGGTTTGGTCACATTAAATGAAGACCTTCCATTCACCCGGTTAGGAAAGTTGAGGTATTTGATTTGACTTATGTTAAGAAAGGTACAGGTAGACCTAAAAAGACTTGGTTAAAAAATATTAGAAATGATCTTTCTTTATTAAATTTAAATGAGAATTTGACTTTTAATATGACACAATGGCAAAAAAAGATTCATGTAGCCGACCCCACGTAGTGGGACTAAGGCTTGATGTTGTTGTTGTTATTGTTGTCTAGCCTAAATTAAAGCTAGAATTATTAACAAATTTTTTTATTAAAGAAAATTTTAATAATTTTTTTAAAAAATACTATTACTTGAAATTTATATTTAATAAATAATTAAATTAATAAATCACCAAAATACTCCTTGATTTAACACCATTTACCCCAAAATTTGATATTATGACCAAAAAGGCCCCTTTATAAGAAGTTGAGGGATCATTTTAGTCCCTCAAAAGAGTTGGGGATCATTTTGATCATTTTCTCTTTTTTTGAGTTGTATCAAATCTATTTATAGATACGCATATAAAAATTTTACCAAAAAACTTTCCTATAGCTATGTATGGCATGAAGTATTCCACTTAAGTTTTGAGGTAAACCCATTCACCTCTCTCTTAAAATTCTAGTTTTGCCGCTGCAGCATGAAAATACTCAATATTATTGTCGCTTCAAAGAAAATAATTGTTCAATGATCATAACTGGCAGGCTTAAGGGTAAAGCTTCTCATAATTCAGGGAGGAAATTTAATGACGTTAATGTTAATTTGGATGCAAAGCCTGAACTCAATTTGCTTGGCGAGGAAGTTAAATTGGATAAAAAGCCCGAACACAATTTGCTTGGCGGGAAAGCTACTTTGGATGCAAAGCCTCAACTCAATTTGCTTGGAGAGAAAGTTAATATGGATGCAAAGCCTGAACTCAATTTGATCAATCTGCAGTAGTTGAATGGAAGACTGGTTCAGTGGATCATATTGGAACTCCTAACTTTCATGCTGCAATTTTTTAATAAAGGAGTCCAATGGCATGGTGAATTAACATGTCTTCTAAAGTTTAAAACTGGTTTATGTGGCTATATCACTTGCTTATTGCAACTACTAACTTTCCTTCTGCAAAACATTGTTCTTGATAAATAATGGAGCTCAATGACAAGGTGGATTTGGCATGTTTTCCATGTATAATAATGGTTTATATGGCTAAATCACTGATTTATTTTTTTCCTAGCTTCATTATCGAACAATGTATCAATTTTCTAAGTTATATTGGGCTTTGGTATCTTTATAACCTGAATTCTAAACATCCATTGTCACCTTTTCAGCAAATTGGTAGAATGGAGCTATATTAAGTATGGTTTTGTTTGATATAGTTATATTGTTCTGTACTGCTTTTAAAATATATAATATATTATAATGATAATTTAAAGAAAATTACATGGCACAAGCACTTCATGTAACATTCTTCACAGCTTCGTGGCAGGAGAAATTATTCTGTGCGGACTCCAGATGGTTCGGATACCAACCATAACTCATCACGTCACCCGATACTACGCACCGTTACTGGGCAAAAAAGCACGTGGCGCATTCTGGTTGGTCTCCAAACACCGTCCGGGTCCACACAGAATAATTTTTCCCGTGTGGAAGTGACGAATATAATTAAACGGTAATTCGTCTATTTCTGCAAAAGTGAAAGTTCAATTGAAGCTGAAATTGGGTAGACTCTTAATCAAATCCAGGTCTACAAATATTGGCAGTTCTAACCTAAATCCAAGTCATTAATTCCCTCTCTTCTCCCTAGAAATAATTCTCTAATATTAATTCTATCGGTTGTACCCATTATTTACATAGCAAAAAGCCAAATCGTATAATATCTTTCAAGTATAGCTTCGGTTCTGGGTAGTTAATGTTCATATCATCACATATCAAACATGTTCTGGGTAGTTAATGTTCATATCATCACATGTCAAACATAAAGTAATTAAATAAAATATGATGGGCATGTTTGCTTAACTATCAAATAAAAGCTTAAGAAATGAAATATGGTAGCATATACCTAATGCTTCAAGGAATAACATGAAATTCAGTCAAGTATTGCAGATTAACTGTGATGCATAAAAAAAGGTACCCATGAGTATTCAGACATCACTATTACTAATGTAAACAATATCAGACAAACAGGAAAAAATGATCATCAAGCCAAACGCCCAAACGGTAGCCATTTATCAAAATTTTCAAAAAGAAATGCAGGTGTGACAATGCAAAAATGTAGACAAATGTAGTATCTTCCGGACACTGAAAAATTAATTTGAAAGAGCATAGGCATATTAAAAGGCTTAAACGGCATTAACAGCTACTCTTCCTTGTGTTTGGATAAGATCCAGTCGCATGAACTACTTGATGAAAAAACATTACAGAGCATCAAAACAGCAACTAAAAGTATAAAAGAACGAAAGCATCAAAAGAGCAACTACTTGATGGCATCCTAATATGGCACGCTAAAACAATTCAAAAGAGAGCAGATCTTCTTGGTATGAAGCATTCATGTAAAAGGCAAACAGAAAAGTGGAAGTTTGGTTCTACGCATGCAAACTGCGGAGGATACCGTGAAGATAGCCACCAGCCATTATAAATGAGATAACTGAAACAACACCAGCTGGAAATATCTTGCCAGATCTCTTGAAACGCGAACCCATAACTGCTAGGAGTGCAGCAGACAAACCTAAAGAAGACGATTAAACAATAAGAAGACGTAAGAACACAATGAAATCTAAACAAATAATTTTAAGTTAGTTTGGTCCTTAAGAAGATGTCAATGACCAGTTTCCTACCTAGCCCCAAGGACGATGCAAAAGCTGGTTTCACTGGAAGCTGAGTGTACACGTAATACAATAGCAATGCTGAACCTCCCCCAGCAGCAAGTGACTTCTGGCTACCACTTTTCATATAGCCCATGACGCCACCCACTGCAACAAGGAGATGTTTAGAAGTTTCAAATTGGCCAGTGAAGCAATAAAAGGAAAAGTGTGGTGAAAGGCTTGAAGCTCTAAAATGTTGTCATGAAAAGCAACAAAAAATAACCCATCTTATAGTGGTTAGGACAGTTGCATTATACTAGGACTCAGCAGATCATATGACAACAGCACATTAAACACACCTAACTGATGGCATAGTGTGCAACATTTCAACATTTGCATTTAGAAATTATAACTTTAATAACGCTCAAATAGCAGTCAGACTCCTAGGACCAGCAAGTTTCATATGTAGTATTTTGCGCCCACATTCAATGATAAACAAGAATGTTTTGCAATTCAATATTTATCAAATGCAACATTTCTGCAAAGTTTCAACGATGAAAACAAATTTTCGTGGGATGTTATAATATTTTTACTGCAGATTTTATTTTTATTTTTTTCTTTATTAGAAGTTTAAAGGGACTTTATCATTACAAAAAGAAGGGTTGGAACATGTAAAACACAATCATAATAAATTTCTTGTTGGATGTGCATTTGGTAAGATAAATTCCTAAACTAAGTAGGAAATTGAAATTTTATGTCAGAGTTAATCTCTTTGTACAAGCATAAGGTTTGATTTAATCATCTGTTTTCCTTCTACTAGATTTCTATATTCTAAAAAAGAATTTAGCTTGTGTGTTTGATTATTTCTTTGTCAAGGTTTGATATTATGTGGATTTTAATGTGGAGTGATTTTCAATTAATTTTTAGGTTTCCCAATTTCTGTGTAAGTTCTAATAGAAGGCTATTACATTTTTATCTATATGAATTTCTTCATTTTCTCTCGTATAACAAATAAAAATTTATTTCACCTTATGGGAAAAAATGGTAAAATGTTGAATATTTCTCATCTTCAGTATTTGTAACATTTTACTTTGCGCACAACAATGATGGTTTTTCTCATAAACTTAATACAAATTTTGTCATGTGCGTGCATAAAGGACAGACGAATTCCGCTCACCTGACACAGCTAACCGATCACATGGCTTCATGCATCACAACCATCTACTTATAACCATCTAAATAAATCTTAGCTATACACGTGTACAGAAAAATCTTTATAAACAAAGTACCTCCATGTAATGAGTGGTTAAGAGAATAATAAATGCTGCATTAACTTCTCTGTAGCTTTCTTGGTCATCTCTTTATGCTCCTTCATGGTATTAGAGCAGGACACCTCTAGCAGAAGGTAAATCCCTGAAAACTTCCATGGCCCAATCCTCTTCATCTCAGATTAGGAATCTGCCATTAGATTCATCGGCAGATACCTTCACAATTCCTGCATCTCTAAAATTTGTTATTTCAAATATCAAAACCATAGTTCCCACCCAATTATCGAATGATAATTACCCCATATGGAGATCTCAGGCTACCAAGCTACTTAGAGCTAACGGATTTGTTGCATTCATCGATACCATAATTTCTCCCCCACCTTGCCTCAAGCAAACATCAGATGGCACGATCATCATAAATTCTAAACACACATAATGGGTTCTCATAGATCAGAAACTAGCTGCAGCCCTTTGCTCCACCATAACCCCCACTATCCTTCCATATATTCTTCATTTAGACTCCTCTTAAGCTGTTTGCACAACCGCTGAAAGAAGATTACAATCTTCCAACATATCAAGAGTTATTCAACTCAAAAATGAACTCCACAATGTATCCATGGAACAACACACAATAGTTGAATACCTCATTGAAATCAAGACACTGGTAGACAAAATAGCAGCAACAGGAGCTACCATTGACAAGGAAGACGTTATACTCTACACACTAAACGATCTCCCACCGGCATACCAATCATTCAAAAGTTCTATTCGCACTAATAGTACATCTCCTCAGCCTAGGCCCTATATGACCTGTACTCATTTCTGATTAGTGAAGAAATTAACCTACAAGTCGAAGCAGCTAGACACTTCACTCCTCCAGACCAGAATACAACATTATACTCAACCAGAGGCAGAGGAAGAAGAGGCAGAGGCCACTTCACATAGCACACTGCCCGTCCCAACACCCAACCGACAACACCTTGTCAAATTTGCAACAACAAAGGTCATTCTGCGACAACTTACTGGCACATATTCAACATCAACTATACCCCTCCACCACAAAAATCCCTACAGCCCTAGCTACCACCAGTGACAACCCCAACCCGGATTGGTACCTAGATTACGGAGTAACTTCACACCTCACCAATGACATCAATAGCCTCACACTTGGTGACCTAATGCCATACAATGGTACAGACAACATCCTCATTGGAGATGGCAGCACAGTAGCACACTCCCCATAGCTCATACAAGCGCATGACTTCTACCAACACCCTCTCGTAAGCTTCATTTACCCCAACTTCTTCATATCACAACATTATCTCACAACCTTCTTTCAATTTATCATCTAACCAAATATAATAGCATCACCATTTTATTTGATGCTTCCGGTTTTACTGTCAAGGATCTCACAAAAAACAAAACCTTACTCAAAGGCCCAAGCCATAATGGGCTCTTTCCGATCCCAGCTCCTCCACGCATCACACAACCATCAGCTCTCTCAGCCATCACAAGTCATTGAGCTGCAATCATCTGACACAACAAACTTGGACATCCCCACACTCGTACCATAGCAACCATCTCCAATACCAACAAACAACTCAACATATCCACCTTATCTTTTTTTTGTTCAACAGGTAAGGTCTCTAAAGGCCACAAACTTTAATTTCCTAGTTCTATTTCCCATTCTAAAATGTAATTAGAACTAATTCATTCGGATGTATGGGGCCCCTCCCCAATCACTTCTCATCAAGGCTTTCATTACTATGTTTCTTTCATAGACAACTTTCCTCGTTTTACATGAATTTTTTCAATGATATGCAAATCAGAAGTCCCATCCATTTTTATTACATTTAAAACTATGATAGAAAAACTTCCCCACCACATCAAACAACTCAGGTCAGAAGGCGGCACAGAATATGTCAACAGAGCATTACAAACATACCTACAACAACATGACATTATACATCAGATTTCATGCCCTTACACTCCCGAACAAAACAGCATTGCAGAACGTAAATATCGCCACATTATTGAAACCACAAGAACCCTGTTACATATAGCTTATGCACCATACTCATATTGGCCCGATGTAGTCATAATTGCATCTTATTTAATCAATAGGCTACTAACTCATACAAACCAAAACAAATCCCCACTACAAATCCTATACAACAAAACCCAAAATTATTCAACATAAGAACTTTTGGGTGTGCTTTGCTTCCCATGGATCCCTCCTCACAACAGACACAAATTGGCCCCTAAAGCCACTTCATGTATCTTTTTGGGATACTCAAGTTCCCACAAAGGATACAAATGCCTCAACCCAACCACCAATCACATAACCATCTCTAGACATGTAACCTTTCATGAGATCACATTCACATTTGCACAACCCACAACAACACCACCACCCAGTACAATCCTTCCATCCAACCCACTACTCCTCACACCCACAACCGAAACCAATACTATCCCGTCAACACACATTCGTTACCCCCCTCATATTACACCCATCACAACCCACTCCAACAATCCCATCATCAGACACCCACCCCTCAACATCATCTTTCTCCACTCACCACCCAGCAGCTACAATTCTCACCACTCCCACATATCCATCCACACACGGCCACATCCATCCACCCCATGATGACAAGATTAAAAGGCTCCCTCAAACCAAAAATGATTCTCAATCTACTTCACTAGTATTCCCAAAACCACCCTTCTCAACCTCCAGACCCCGCCACCTATACTAAGGCATCCAAACATCACCATTGGCAGCAAGCAATGGAAACCGAATTTCTTGCACTACAGCAGCAGGCAACTTGGTCTATAGTCCCACCCCCACCAAATACACTCATACTAGGCTGCAAGTGGACATATAAAATCAAACTCCATTCCAATGGATCCATAGCCAGATACAAAGCACGATTGGTAGCTCAGAGGCACAAGAAAGAATACGGGATTAACTACCTGGAAATATTCAGTCCAGTAGCCAAATCCCCAACCACTGGATGGTACTCACTATTGCATTTAACATATGGGAAGTCCACCAACATCCTGATGTGGCTGATGCCTTTGTACACGGCACATTGACATACACCAATTACATGAAAAAACCACAAGGATACGAGGACAACCTACGCCAGAACTATGTCTGCCTTCTTCACAATGCAATATATGGCCTCAAATAGGCCTCAAGATAATGTTTCACCGCATTTTTAGCATTTCTCCAACAAATAAGCTTCCACCCGAGCAAAGCAGACCCATCCCTACTCATACTCTCTCAAGTCGACTCGCAGATTTATCTACTCACATACACTGACGACATCTTACTCACAGGTAATAACAATACTCTGATTTCTAACATCATCATGCAACTGCATCAAACCTTTGCCATGAAACATTTACGTACGGCCAACAACTTTCTCGGCATCAACATTGCCACTCACAACCAATCCCTCTTCCTCTCCCAAACTCACTACGCCACATCAATTCTCACCACAGCAGGCCTCCACCTATGCAAACCTTTATCAAATCCCTCTTGTACCAAACCACCACCAATATACCACCCAACCCACTCCTCAACAATCCCCAAACCTATAGAAAACTCACATAATCCCTCCAATACCTCACCATCACCAGACCGGACATAGCCTACCATGTCAAGTTACTATGTCAACACATGCATAACCCACAATCATATCATGCATACCTTCTTAAACGATTACTTAGGTACATAAAAGGCACACTCAAATACGACATCTCAATCTCTCGTAGACCACTCCAACTCCACTCATACTCAGACGCATACTGGACAAGAGACACAAACACACGAAAATCCACTTCAGGATGCTGCTCCTTTCTCGACAACACAGTGATCTCATGGAGCGTCAA